TATTCCTATTACAAAAAGCACGGTCAACATATCTTACCCGAGAGTCACCAACCACAAGAATGCGCTTACCTTCATTAGCAGGGGGCAGTAGTCCCCTTACCTTCACTGGCCACTGAAGTACATTCATCCTGGAGAACAGAGAAGCGATTTCCTACCTTCAGATCTTCACTCTTAACTTTCCTTACTCTGATGCGCCTCCCATTACTGTGAACAACTCGCCACTTGTAGCGGTGCGGGCTGCACCTCACTGCTGGTAGCCTTTGCTACCTCCCCACCTACAGCCTCCTCACAGTGAGAGACAGACTGCACCTCACTGCTAGAAGCCTCATTCCCCACATCTCCAACCACCTCACACTCTCTCCCAGGCCCATTGAGGTGGACCTTCAGCCTCCTAATCTCCTCCTGGAGAAGCAAGACCTCCTCCTTCAACTCTCCAACCTCAGTTTTTAAAACACTGCAGAAGCAAGCCATGCTTTGTAACCGTTCACGCTAATCCCCAAAGCAGCTCAGGGTCTGTGACCTCACTTGACGACTGACCACTGAACACTCGACGACTGACCACTGAACACTCAGCAGTGGAATGTGGATGGCCAGGAACCCAAATGCTGTTTGATGAAAAAAGGAATTGCTGTCTTCCAATTCAGATTCATACTGTTGCCAGCAGATTTGGAATCATTGAAAGTCATGGAAAAATTGCCAGATAAAGGGACCTTTCGCTGGGAGACTGACAAACCGTGACTAACTGACAGAGCGGCTGAGTCTGCATATTCAATGCCACTAGAACTGCGACATAACCAACATCGTACAAGAATGTGATTGAAGGTGTTCATGAGAGAGTGAGCACAAATTCGAAATGGACACTGATGTTGAGGTAGCGAGGGATGAAGGATCAAACATGAATCAACCGGAACTTTCAAAAAGGGAAGGAAAAGTATATCCCGTGAAAATAAAAGGAAGAGGAACAAATTAAAAGACAGTGCCGGAGCTCAAACTTGGAAATAAATGACACTGATTTAACTAAATCAGTCTAACCAGCCTCTATGACTGAACAACTGAGTAGTGTCACTGAAGCAAGAACTTTGGGTAACTTTAAAACAGACTGGACGAGTGTATGGGCAGATGGGTATTCCTTTATGTTCTTATTGTGTGTATACAAGGGTCGTGAAGTTCGTGGAGGTAAGCAAAGTATAAAAAGTAATGAACATCTTGTCGATCCATCAAAGGAATATTTGCTTCTACATATAGGCACTCAACTGGGAAAGCTAAAAAGTCTTCTCCCGGACATAGTCGCTGGTGTATGTAGACACTGACACCCGTGCACTGTTCAAGACATTTGTGGGAAAAGTTTCACCACAAGTGGATATTCAGTCTTGAACTAAACACATATGTCGTTATCTACATCATAATCGCTGATAATAAATGGCAATGAACATCTTAAGAGCTACTGGGGAAGCTGCGGACTATAATTGGTCCCTATAATCTAGCGGACAAAATTTGGGCAGAATGAAGTTGAAGAGTTTGTCTATCAGCTTCCCCAACTAAAATGGGCTAAACTTTTAAATATATTCAGACACTTAAAACAGGTGGCTTCTAGAATAATGTTGTGCCACTACCACGAGATTCAACACACAAAGGGAAGGCCAGGAAATTTGAACATGTCACATACTGGAACAGGATACCCATTAAGGTGTGTATATATAAAAAAAAAATATGGTGGTGACAGGGGTCTTCATGAAAAGGATGTACTTATGTCATTTCTGAAGTGCGTCTCTGATAAAAAAAAAAATACCTTTGTGGAAAAGCTGCTGCCTGCTTTCTTGTTTTAAAAAATAGGCTTGAGACAAAATATAATGTCCAGAGGTGTTCAAAGTTTCTCAAGGTTGAAAATGACCATGAATAGCAGAGTAGCTGTCCTCGAAAACATTTTGAATGTATGTATCCAATGACAGCAAGGGGTTGATGGTGGAACTTACCTTGCTAAAAAAACAAATTGATTAGGCGGAAACGGTTTTAGATCTAAGTTCCAAATGAAGCATTTATTAACACTGTTCTAATAATTTACAAATAACGCTAGTAAAATTGATGGGTTTAAAATTGGAATTATCTTGAACAGAAGCATCTGGTTTTCGAAAAGGGATAACTACTGCAGAATTCCAATGAAGGGGTAAAATATTTTTTGCCTTCAGACTATATCTAGTCGAAATAGTGCGCGAGGAAGACTAGCGCTGTAGAATGTATGTATTGAAGCATATTAACATGTAGTATATCAGACTAGCACACTGATATAAGTTCTTGCAACGTGAGATATACGAAATATTAAGCTCAGTGGGGGTTGTCTCCCATTCGAGTTTGGCCTGGATAGGGGGGGGGGTAAATGGAGTATTTGTGAAACTGTCAACTTTATCAGTAAGTTACTTTTTTGCTGATATTGCAAGGACATTGAAAGTCATGCTTGTACGTACTTACCTTTCATAATCATTACTAAGTTCATGAAATCGTAATGACATGATTGCAAACCACGGTATGGTTGGCGATTGAACTCGCGGCAAGCGAATCGTAAAACTGCAGGCCAGCGCGTAAGCCACTGGGCAGCTAGCTACATTATTATTATAATCAAAAAGAAGCGCTAAGCCACAAGGGCTATACAGCGCAGCTAGCTACAATAAGATTCATCCAACTAGTTGGGTCATTATGATCCATTTCTGAAGATTCAGTATTCTGCCTGTGATCTGCAGTATTTTGCGTTATATCGTTGTTCGTTTTTGTGTGGGGCTCGAGTTCACTCACCAGCAGGCCTTTACCTGGCTTGTTCAGCATCATTAAATCAGATAAGATGCACATCCTACTTGTTAGAGAGTGCAAGTGTCGTGTCTGATGTGTGTCAAGTGTCCTTGTGGAACTATATAGTTATTCAGTATGCTTCAGGATCTCTTGTTTACAGTTAAGTACATCTTGTCCAGTGTCGTGTTAGGAAGATTTCTGTCAGCGGGAGAGATTAAGGGGTGTGCTCCTTGCCATGTGATCGAGGTATGTTGGGTATGAAAGCATTGTCGTTTGATTGTTGCTGTCTTTGGGCAGATGGCTTGAGCCTTGTTCTCTGCTGGGAAACCGCACGATCTGTGAATCTTTGTTGTGGTGTGGGGTAAGCCGGTTCCGTGACCAAAATATGGCAGACATCAGAGGTACTAGAGAGAAAGAACGTCAGTACAAGGCACAGCAACAAGAATTGCATGAAAAATGGTTTGAGGAGACTCCATAGCCCCACAGGGAATGGTAGAGGGGTGTTGTTCTTACTGTGGATAAATGAGAATTACGTTCTCCTATACAGTAAAAACAAATGAGGTAATTTTGGAAAATAAATGCAATGAACAATGTATCGTATTTTCCGGCATATAAGGCGAGCCTTTTTCCCACATTATAATCAAAACTAAGCACTAAGCTTTTTCCCACAAAAAGTCTTGGAAAATTACCCTGCGCCTTGTATGCTCAAGGTCAGGGTCAATGGTAGGCTTTTTGTTACGCTCGAGCATAAAGATTGTAATTAGCCCTTAAATATGATTACTGATTTACCGTTATGATACTTCCTGTCATGCGCCTTATATGTCAGAAAATACGTTACCTTCCTGAACCACGGTCAACTCTGCTGAAACGGGTAGTGTTGTTGTTTCTAAGAAATTACCTCTATTTACCTGGCGCACAACAGGATGATACCACCAGAATTAACAAGAGCTCAGCCAAGTGAAACTACCTTGGACAAAAGCACTAAATGTGACAGCATTTTTTTCAGTCAATAATGAAATGAACGCCAGGACTCGTACATCATCAGCTGCTACTCCTGGATCTGCAGGCAACCTCCAGCAATACATTCATCATTAGATGCCAGTCCTGATGGCCATCGAGTTGAAGTTCGACCAACACAACACTACAAACGGAAGCTACATAAGAACAGGGCTAAAAAGAACACAAGAAAGAAGGAACACTGCAACAGGCCTACTGGCCCATGCGAGACAGGTCCAGTTCTCCTACCAGCTTAAGCCAACGCCCTAACCTAGTCAGGTCAGGTCACATTCACTATAATGGTCTATTTTCGCTTGTCCCAGAACTAGATTCCACATAAGAGGAAAATTTTCCACATTAACGAGGCGAAATGAAGAGACGGGTTCAGAGGTATTAAGACCTGATAAGGGATCTACTTCCTCAGATTAAAAGCCGCTTCGCCGTAGAGAAGAAACCCACCCTTCAGGAAGAAATAAGAACAGCAGCATGGAGTGCCCTGATGGTAAAGGGCTTTTTGTCCAAGGAATTGGAGCTAACTTTCCCTTCATTGGATCAAAGATTTCTTCCCAATCTCCAGGTGCTGTATAATCCCTATTGGTTTAACGCTTTACAATTTATATAATAATCCCCCCACATTACCAGTTATGTAATAATCCCCACATTACCATGAATATCTACTTGCCTCGTCAGACAACAGTATTAAATGCAGTTTAACTGTGTCGAAGGACGTATACATCACAAAGTATCACCCATTGTATATTCACCCAGAGGTGTATATCTTCCAGTAATTATGCACAGATCATTCGTCTCTCAACCTGCGGGCTGAGAGGACGCTTTCTAAGCCTGCTCCTGCTTACACCTGGTGGCGAACCGTGTACTACAGTACGCAAGATGGCGGATCGTCAGGGTAGAAGAGTAAACACGGTCTGTGTTGAATTCATTCGTGGCTCTCTCAGTGGTGCAACGATGCATGTCTTGTTGCCTACCATTATTCGCGACGTCTACGGCATCCCAACTGAGGAATTATATGGTGTGGCTCTCAATGGGATGTCGAGGTTTTTTGTAAAATTCGCAAATGCTGGCTTTTACTCCAAGATTGTGGAAGCTTTTCAAGAGAGGAAAATGGCGGTGAATTCAGCCGTAGAGGTATGCCTGCATGACGTCTCCACATACGTCACCTGGGTCAAAGTAAGGAATGTGCCTTTCGAGGCGGAGGAGTATGTTATTCGGAAAGTTTTTGGTAAATACGGCACGGTACATGCAGTGACCAAGGGAGTGTGGAGGGAGGGCCCATACGAGGGGCTCCCGGAAGGCTCCTGCACCCTCAAGATGACTTTAAAACAGCCGATTCCATCTTATGTTCATCTAGAACACTACAGGACACAAGTTTTTGTTCACTATGCAGGCATACGTAAGACATGCAGGTTATGCAACTCGTATGACCATATGGCTGCTCAGTGCTCCAGACGCCTGGTTGTACGCATCCGGGAACCTTCTCCTGTGGTCCTAAGAACCGAGGCCTTTGATCTGGAGACTGGTCCCTCGCCTGAACAAGGACCTAAGCTTTGGAGTGAGGAAGTACAACAAGAGGAGATGCGGTCTATGGCGTGTGCCACCCTGTCGGTGGACACTACAAACGTGCCCATGCCACCTGTGGGGCCTACGGAGCCTGTGGGGTTGTCACAGGAAAGTTTGCTGGAGAACGTGCTAAACGATCTCCTAGATGGGGCAGAGCATAGCCCAGACGTTTCACCGGAGTGTCAAGAAGTGGTGAAGGATGATTCGCCAAATATGGGAGACCTGGACGTGACTACAATGACACGGATGCATGAGGTGGTGGTGGAAGTCCACCAGGAGGCTTCGTCTGGTGAGATGTGTGTGGAAGTTGGTTCCCGCAAACGGACGGCAGGAGTGTCGGATATGGACGAGGTCCTGACACCGGGACAGCGTCCAGGGAAGAAATTATGGTCGAAAGTGTCTGAGGCGTCTCCTGCAGACGGGGTTGGGGCAAGCGCCCAGCATATGGGTAGGGCACGGGGGGGGTGAGGGGGGCCTTGGGAAGTCAAAGGTCAAAGAAGGTCAGTGTAATGTACGTGTGGGAACGGGAAAGACCCACAAGCATAGAGGAAAACCTCCTTTTGTGAATTCAAGTGTGTTACCATCAATGTAAATGGCCTGCGGGCAGAGTTTAAGTGTGTGTGGATGGAGTGGTTCTTGCGCAGGTACGCTGTGGACGTATGTTTCATACAAGAACACAATTATAAGTTTGGGCGAGAGTTACGGTTAAAAGGCTACCGAATGTATGTTAGGAGTTCTTTAAAAATAAAGGGTGGGGTAGCTATAGCGGTGAAGGAGTCCAGCCCTTGGCGTGTCTTAAGATGGGAGGAGGGGGGAGGTGGGAGGGTGGTGAGGGTAGATGGGTACTGGGGTGAGGTGAGGGTTTGTTTTATTGGCGTTTACATGCCAGCGGAAAGCAACACTAAAGTTAAAATAGAATTTGTGAGGGAGGCTTTAACGTTTTACACTCGGGGTTTGCCGTTCATTACCGTCATGGGTGGGGATTGGAATTGCGTTATCCGCCATGGCGATGTTGAGCCGCGGGGGCGGGGTGCGTTTTACCTGTCTTACGGAATCTGCTGGGGGATGCAGGGGTTTATGATGTGGTGGGGCGGGGTGGGTGGGGGGGGTGGAGCATACGTTCGTTCGCAGGGGCTATGCGGCCCGTCTGGATAGACTTTATGTAACACAAGGGATTAGAGTTGGGCACGTACAGACCTTTGATGTGGGGTTTTCAGATCACCGTGCAGTGCTAGCGGACTTGAACTGGGATGGAATGATCAGGGTTTATCCAGGTTGTTGGAAACTGAACGTGCGGCTATTGGAGGGGGAGGGGGATGGGTCTGCTTTTCAGGACTGGTGGAAGAATATCTGGGAAACGCGACGGGCAGGTGAATGTTTGTTGGAATGGTGCCAAACCTGGAATAGCGAGTTATTATAAGAAGCGGGGAAAAGAGGAGGCGAGGTGGAGGTATGGGCTGCAAAACTATCTGGAGGGGCAGCTAAATGATTACTATGTGGGGGGCGGGAGTAGTAGTCGGTATGACGACATTGAACATCTTCGTAGTCGACTTGCAGAAATTCACAATGAACGTTTCAATGCGGTTAGAGTCAGAGCAGGTATGGAAGAAGTGCTATGGGGTGACAAACCTTCTGGTTGTGTCTTGCGCAAATATAGGGTCAGGCAACAGGCGACGTCCCTCTTGCAATTGGAAGTATGCACGGGTTTGGGTGGTTACCTGCCGGGTCAAGTACTTCTCACCACGGACAGCATGAGTTTTTATAAATGAGGAAGGTTATGGGGTCGGTTATTCACGAGGGACAGCTAGGCATACCAGGTAGGAGCATGAGGGACGGACATGTACGTATTCGGGAGTTTTGGGAGGAATGTCAAGGGGGGGGGTGTCCTCGGGCTTGACTGGCAAAATGCTTATGACTGTGTTGATAGGGATTTATTGAGGCTTATTTTATTGAAGCAGGGTTTTGGAGATGGGATTGTAAGATGGGTTGATACCTTGTATGTCACGGCTATGGTACGCGTACAGGTAAACGGTAAATTGGGGCAGCCGGTCCGTATGGAAAGGGGTTTGAGGCAAGGGTGCCCCCTCTCCCAGCTGCTTTTTGCTTGTATGCAAAACCCCTTTTATGAGCTGGTGGATGGTGGTTTGAGGCGTGGAACGCTGAGCAGTGACCATGCAGCGCGTGTGGTCGGGTACGTAGATGATACCACAATTTTGTTAAAAGGGGAGGAGGATTTGCAGATCGTGGGATGGATTGTTGAGTTTTTTGGGGCAAAGTCTGGCATGTGCGTCAATAAGGCAAAATCGAAATTATTGGAGGTGGGTACATGGGTGGGGGGGGGGGTTGGGCGAAAGGTATGGGTGGTCAGTCATGGTGCAACTTAGAATATGTGGTATCGTGTACATGGCAGATGAGAGGGAGAGCCGAAGGGTAAACTCTGAATTGGTGGTTAACAAGGCTTTAGATCGACTTCTCATTGCAACAGAGGACAGTAGTGGTCAATACACTTGTTTATAGTAAAGTATGGGGTGTGGCTGCGGTGTACCCTTTAAGAGATATGGATATTCAGGAACTGCAGAGAAGGATCTTACGTTATGTTTGGGGTTTCGGGAGAGCTTGGTAAAGTCGGGAGGTTGTCATGACCCATGTTCGTCGTGGGGGTTTAGGTCTCTTGGCTTTGGGGCCACGGGTGAAGGGTCTCTATGTAAAGCAGCGGTTCCTCAGGGCGGGCGGTGAGAAGGGCATCCGGGTGGGTCGGGTAATGATCGAAATGCGTAAATGGTGGATCGGCAGGGGATTAATCGAGTGTGAGGACATGCTGCGTTTGTTAAAGTTGAGAAATGCGCAACGGATCCGGGTGGGGCAAATGGTCAGCATATGTTGTCGTAGGGAAATTGTACAGGGATGGTCTGTTTTTTCGCTGTATAATTGGGGGGAAATATGGGAAGGATTTTGTAAACTTAAGTTGGCACCAAGGGTTCGTGAATTGGTGTACAGATTTGTCATGGGGATTTTAGCATCAAAATCGGTCTTACATAGGATGGGTTTGGTAAGGGAGGCGGATTGCTTGCGTTGCGGTCTCGAAGAAACAGCTTTTCATGCTGTCTACTTTTGTGATACCTTGGACAAAGTTCGTTCGTGGCTGGGGCGGGTTTTAGATTTTCTTAGTGGGGGAAGTATTTCAACCTTACGGGCCTTAACATTGGACGTTAGCGGAGTTTCAAGTGAGGTACGAAGAGCAATAATGTACGTGGTGGCTGATTTCCTCTATATCTCGTGGGGTATGCGGGAAACCGGGGGATCAGTTAGGATCAGGGCAATTGCGGCAGGTATCTACAGAACGTATTGCAGAAATAAACTCATATATGGTAGAAGTTGGGATAATAGTTTTCCTGCAAAGTATCGAAGTCTTACTGTTCAAATGTTGCTGCAACTGCGGGTGGGTAAGGCAACGGGGGGCTGGACTCCCCCCGTGGTAGCACCAAACGGTATGTTAGAGACTTCAGGGTAGAGGGCGGGGTTTAGGGAGTGACGTGTATGTATTATGAATGGTTCCGTGCGTCTGTGTGTGTATGGTTGTGGCGTTGTGTGGCACTGAGATCTTGGATTAATCATAAAATGGTCATACATTTTGATAATACAGATAAAAAGCAATATTCAGTATATGTTCCAGCCTCTAACAAGACTGAATTGGTTCTGACTATGGCCGGGGTTTGGTGAAGTATGTTGGGTCTTTCCTGGAATTCTCGTTAGGTTTAGTTTAGTCTTTTGTAAGCGGAAGCCACGCTGATGTCACCGCTAAAAGTACAACGTTATACTGGCCTTTAAGGGGAATGTTCATAAGCAGACCTTTTGGTGATGATTGTAAACTTTTGATGAAGGGCAAAAAGTGTCATTTGCCTGAGATTGTTTTTGTATATGTAGTAGCGGTCTCCGCTGTGAGGGGGGGGGGGTTGAGATGTATAATGTCCTATATTGTAATCTATGGCCATTCAAGTTCCTTGGACAGCAGCTTTTGTGGGATGTTGTTCCCTCACCCAGTGATATCACATGTATTTTTTTTCATTTATGGTGCATAATAGTCAGTTGATGTTCATTTAAGCACCTTTACTAATATCACTGTATACAGGCAAGGTATACTTTTTGTGGGTTTATAATTAGTTTGAGAAACTAAATATGGGGTTGGTCGGGGTATTAGGTGTCTTAGTGTTTCCTCATATGTAATCATACATGCTAGATCTGTGAAAGTCTTATGTTAATTATTAAAGGATTTTTGCAAGTTTTGATTCCTTTTTCAATATATGCAAAACCAAAAATAAAGAACATCATGTGTCAATTTCAAGAGTCGTGCAGGTTTCTGATAGTTATTTTATATAACCTAGTACCATTGAGTGTACAATGTATTAGTTTATATGATATTTTTTGTATATAAAATTTCATATATAAAATGAACAAGACTGTCAGGTTTTGGTTATACCATAGCTATTTTGTGGTTAAGATATGTTCCGGTAGTTCTCTGTTTAGTTATATGTTGTCTTCCTATATAAAGTTTCCATGTGTACTGTATTTTAAATAAAATATAAAAAAAAAATATGCACAGATGTGTATCTCCCAGTGTCCGCTTACCAGAGAGTGTATATCTCCC